ACTTTAGCATTCCAATCCCCTATGATGAAAAGGACATCTTTTTTTGGTGCTAGTTTTAGAATGTGTTGTAGGACTTCTGATAATCCTGATAAATAGTGCCCAGCAATTGATTCCTTATCATTTTCTCTTTGTCTTCTTTCAGGAACAGCCTCAATAGTTTCTCTTTATCTCTTCTCAGGAATAGCTCATTGGTTTAACACATCCCTTTTGTAAATCCAAAATAAAAAGGCTTTCCAAATCACTCTTATGGTTTATTATTTGTATGTCCCCTTTAATTATTATGATAACAGCTGATTTCATCTGTAAATCCATTTTAGCATCTTTCCATTTTCAGATCCACAGTATCTTTTTCCAAATCACTTTTATAATCCAGCATTTTTATAAACTCCAAATCCACATTCAAATCAGCCTCAATGTCTGTTTTCTCCAATGAAATCTATTGTTCTTCTATATCCTCTACTGAAGTGTCAAACAATCTTTTAAGTAGTTTCTGAGTACATTGGTCCCAAACCACCTTAAACTCTTCTATAGTCATACAACATTGCTCCATTCTATTATTGCTCCATTGTATCTTCTCCTTTAAATGGAATTGGTTGTTCTCTCTGGTTCCCTCAGTCAAGTCCCCTTATCATCTGTTTATTTCCCAGACAAGAAAACTTTCCCACAGGAGGATTTCTTGCAATTAATTTAAAAATCTTCATTTTTTTTAGTAATTTTTAAACACCCCACAGGAAATATTCTTTCCCTCTAGCTCCTTAACTTTTCAAACCCTTTTGCTGTTCAGAAAGTAAATATTTTCTTTTTAATCCTTAGACTTACATGTATCATCCAAGGTAAAAGGAGATTCTCCTGGTGTAATAGAACTTGCCCTTCAGAAATTTCTTAACTTCTAAGTAATCCATAAAAAGCAACTTCCTAAAGTAATTAAGAAAGGAAGAAAGCGAACCCAGGGTCTCTTTGAAAGGCACCAAACCGTGGCTTAGCCAGGATGTTTTTCCCTTGGCTCCCAGAACTCTCAAACCTGTTGGAAACCGCTATTTTACAATCTCCTCTCAGGGAGATTCTGTATGGAGCAAATTATTGGGCGATCCTTGTCCTTTCCTTAATCTGGACAGGGGATCTGAGGAGCTGATCCCTTCACCTGCTCCTCTTTTGCTGCGGTTGTCAGGTCCACGAAAGCGGAGCCGTCTTCAGTCCGCCATTGCTGCCTCTGGAAGCCAGAGTGGTCTACGGTATTGAAAGCCGCCAATATACCTAATGATATAGTAATCTCATGCTGGTCTTTGAAGGCTAACTAGACTGCTGAATCAGGCACAGAAAGCAGAGAGTGCTAAATGTCAATACTCATCCGTTATACGGCCAAAGAAACTGTAGCTATTTAGGAGCAAGAATCCTGCACATGCCCTGAGATTTTTTTATGTATTGCTTTTTCACATGATACACAGTGCTATCCTAATCATAAATTCTTGGAGTGAACAAACACAGTGCAACCAGGGATTGGAAAATCTAGAGAAAAGTATGCCAAAAGGAGAATATTTATGCATGCACTTATTTTAGAGTAGTACAACTGAACTATTATGGAACATTCTTTATAGACCTATCTGTGAAGCAACCATTATAGTGCCAAAAAACATTGGTTAGTGGCCCTGGTGACAGATATATTATTAAAACGCTGTGATTTTACTGCTATGATCTAAACACCTTGTTTTTAAAAGAACAATATTACAGAATATAGCAATTCTAAGACTTCATATACATTAGAATTAAATTGGTTAATTTTCCAGTTTAAAATTATCTTCTAAATGACCATTACTTAGTGGTCTAAATGTAATTAAAAAAAAAAAATTCTAACCAGATGGAATGAGACTATTAATCTAAAAATCAAATTGGTGGGATCAAGGTGGCCTGACAACACCACTGGTAATTTCTCTCTGGAGCTCCTCAGCTGATTTCTCTTTGTTAGGCAGTTTCCTTACTTAGAATTACTTCCTTTCTGAACTTCAAAGGAACTAAAGAAATTCCAACTTCATCCTTTTTCCACTTCCTCCAAAAATTCCCACTCAATAAGCTCTTGGGCCACTTAATATCAGCTGCAGAACAAGATCCAGATACATAGGTATTGCATATATAATGCACAAATACTATATAGATAGTATTGACTAAAACCAGCCTGAAGCTTTTTCATAACAGAAACTAAACATGATTTCTGGATTTTTTAGAGATTGCACATAATAAAAATGGTGCGATTTATATTTTTGCATAAAAGCTCCTTCTGGATAAATGCATAGTGATAATTGCTGGAACAAGGGACACTTATATCTACATAAGACCAAACAAATATTTTATTAAAAAATGTTACTATGTGTGGATCTCAAGCAAGATTTAACGAGATAGATATGCACAAATGTTGCAAATAATGTACCAGCCATATATGTTGTAAAACTGCCTACAATCATAGAAATCAGGCAAATATATGAATATAAATTGTTGAAAAGTGAGACTATTTTTTTAAGGTTAACAAGTAAAGAGTGTTGAACAAAGCTGTTTCCCATTTTTAAAAATTTTATACTGGAGCATTTTGCCTAACAAGCTCACAGAACAGCACATGAAGTTATTCTTCTTAGAAATACAGCTCTTGTTACATCTTTCTACAGGTAGTACTCACTTAACAACCCTAATTGGGACCAGCAACTCAGTCACTAAGTGAAGCAATCATTAAGAGAAACATCACATGACCACCCTGCTTAGCGATGGCAGTTCCGGCAGTCCCTGTTGCTGTCATTAAATGAATTCAGCGGGTCATTAGGCGAGGACCCACCCCCGAACTAAGCCATTCCCAGCTTGATCCCTTCCAGCCATTCCAAGGTAAGGAACAGCCTCCCCTTCAACTTCCCCATCTGCCTAGCTTCCCCCACCCGCCAATCTCTGCCGTTTTGGCTGCCTCGCACAGCATGAAGAGGATGCTGAATTCCCTTGCCACCATCCCAACAGACCTTCCTCCCTGTCCCCCTTGTCGCAATCATTGTTTTGTTTCCGTCTGCTGGGCTTACTACCGCCATTGAGGACTGTTGCCTGAAGCCCCATGGTGCAGCAAGCAGCCCCACTGCTGTGGCATGGCAAGCAGCCCCGTTACCACAGCTCTGTGGCTATTTCTCATGCCACGGCTCTGGGGCTTCTTGGCACGCCACAGCTCTGAAGTTGCAAGAAAATACATACATATGTAATATGTATATTAAATTAAATTAAATTAAATTACATTGGATTTATTCTCCACCCATCTCCCCCCAATGGGGAACTCTGGGCAGCTCACAAAGTACAACATATACAATTAAGCAATCTTAATTCTATCTAACAATTTAACGGCTATACTATCTAGCCAGCAGCGGTCGCTAGGGAGTCACAGCACATCCGGGCTTTTTCCTTCTTTGTACGTCTTTCTTCCCATCGATCGCATCGGTCACATTCAGGTTGGGTCTCGGACCAGTTTCTGCTCCCCGCATAGCGCCACTGGTTCCTCCCACCGAAATGGGAGTACCTAGTTATCTACTTGCAGATGGAATTGCTTTCGAACTGCTAGGTTGGCAGAAGCTGGGACGAGTGACAGGAGCTCACCACGTCACGCGGAGCCAGGCCCGAACTGCTGGAGTGCTGACCATTTCTGATTGGCAAACCCCAGCGTCATAAAGCCCTGCACCACTGCGTCCCACATATATATCATTTTGTTTTCCTATCTGAATACAATTGCCATATATTAGTCTATAATTCAAGTAAGTTTGGAGCTTTTTCCAAAAGTGCACAATTTTATAAAAAACTTACTTATGCTGCTGCTTTATAAATAATAAATACCATGTGATTAAAAAAAAAAACACACACTAGGCATCTTCCGGGGGATGCTGAATATTTGTATTAATGTAACCTCTTTCCCCTTGCTTTTAATTACTGGAACCAAAATAGAAAAATTACTAGTGCCTATGTTGTAGTTTCTCATTTGCCATACAGTCCTTCTTGGACTTTGGCTTTTGGATAGCCATGAACTTATCACATTTTCAAAAGTATCCCTTTGATAGAGAAAGGAAAGGGAAACAAACACGGTTACCTGTAGCCAAAGCCTGTTTCCTTGAACAGTCCTACCATTGGCAGTGCAATGAAAAGTAGCAAACTGGCCAGCATTGACTTCTACACTCTGGAGACGCAGGAAATGAGGTGTGCTGGCTGTTGAAAATAAAAGAGTGGCAAAGGGAGAATTATATTATTAGCACCACATTGTTCTAAATGACATATTTGTATTGTAAGCCGAGAAATTGAGACTGAAATTAATTTTAAAATATTTGTTTCTAATTATTCACAATATCATATATTATAAAGATGTTTTACATTGCCAATGTTCCTTTTTTACAAGAATCTAAGTCCCAATAAAAGAACAATTTTAGCTTACTGTTTCTATTGAGCAAGCAAATTATTTTGGCTGTGTAACTCTCTTGGAAAACATTTCTATAAAGACTGGATTAAAATCTAACTGATGTTTTTTAATAAAAGCTATAATAAATACTGAAACCAGTTATCAGACAAGAATATTAGGATATTATCAAGACCACTATTTTTATGTACCTCAAAGAAAGGTAGTTTATGTACTTCAAATAAATTGTGGAATAAGCAAAATCAAGCCTTGTTCAAGTTGAGTTCAGATCCTACTGACTTCATGAACACATCTGTATAGTTTTCTTGGCAATAACATGGAATTTACTTGCTATGAACTTCTGGGATGTTTTTCAACTCTCCAGTCTAGCCTACAGCCTTACAATTCACTAAGGGGCTCCCCACGAAGTACTATAACTAGGTCTCAAACTGTCTAAGTTATGAGTGCACATGAGGTCAGCCAGGAGTTGCTGAGGCATTTTAGTACTAATGTATTTTACTACTGGGAATGATCAGGAAATGCATGTGATATGGATTCAGCATCTACTACACTGTTGGAACAATGCCTTTTCCCATATGTGAAAGCCAGGATCCTGCTCCAATTGCCTTTTGCGGGTTCATGTAACATGTAACTTAGTCTCATACCTTCAGCTAGCAAAGTATGCTTTCCAACAATCTTAGAAAATTTACATAGTATTTTGGTTTCAAGAGTTCTAGGCACCTACCGAGTTAAATAGGCCCTTTATCAAGAAACCCTTTGGGGATTCAGAAGAAAGAAATTACCTTTATTCCAACAATATTATGAAATAATTAAAAACATAATATTCACTTACTACATGGATGTCCTAAAACCTTCACATCATCAATAGCCAGATATCCTTGGTGACCTGAAGTGATAACTTCAAAAACTACCTGAAAGATGAAAAAGCAAGTAATATCAATATATTTGGTGATAGATTTATGCTTCTGAAATGTTAGTATAAGTACAGCTATTTATTTGTTTAAATAAAATGCTGACTATTTAAAAATACAAAGACTTAAGCATTTCAAGCAATACAGGAAAGTATAGGAATCCAAATTCATAGACATCAATAATTTTATCCATGCACAGCTTCATTGGCTGTTATTTTTATTTGCAGCCAATTTCTTATGCATTACCTGATTCAATAAATAATCCCAAACTTTTTATGTTTATCTAATTTATGCAAGTTAGATTAAATATTAGGATAAGAATTACTTGGCAGAGTATACCTTCTGTACACTTAGTATGCAAGTTTTCTTCCACAGTGATATCAACTGAAAGATAGTATAATGTAATATAACATTACTTCATCAACGTACCGTACTACAGCTGCTCCCCTGATGCTTCCTGGCTGCTTGAAAATTATATTAAAGATTAAAATATTGAGGAAAGACATTAAAGCTCTGTCCTATTCATTAATCTAAGAAGTTTTATCATGAAATCAATCTAATATATAACACAGATAGAGGTAGTCCTTGTTTAGCAACCACAATTATGACTGGTAACTCAGTCATTAAGCGAAGCAATCGCTAAGTGAAATTGCAACTGTGCTTAAGATCTTCCTTCAGCTTTCCTATGCTTTACAGACCTGCAAAGGTTGTACGTGTGAGGACTGGTGCAAAGTTACTTTTTCATCACCGTCGTAACTGCAAATGGTCACTAAACAAGGCAGTCACTAAATAAGCACTACCTATAATATAATTCATATAATATATATTCTTATGTATATTATTAGTATAAAGCAAGAAAGAAAAGTTAGACGCTTCTGTTCAGCCAACGAGGCCTTAAAAAGTGACAATGTTTGATGGTAGTGAAAGCTGGTGGATAGTCCAGAAAAATAAACAGATACATACCTCCAATATAAAGCTATTTTCCTAGTACACAGCCAAGACAACTGGAAAATTGTCTTGATGTGCTAGTAGGAAAACTGATTCATAAATTCAAAGTCAGTGATCTGGCATTACTCCCATTATATTCAAAATAAATAAATCAAGCCATTTTCTTCTATCCCTACCCCTATACCCAATACGCAAATAAAATCTCTATACTTCAACTGTACTTGCTGTTATTGGGAAAAGTGCCTGACTATAAATCTTGTCATAGTTTTCAGCATAAATACTAATTAATAAATTAACTAATAACAAATACTTTTATATCAGTGCAATCATGCAAATATTTCTCTGAACAAACAGCTGGAAAGTAGTACATAACAAGCACTGAAAAGGGGGAACAAGCAATGCATTTTCCCCTTATTTCTGTATAGAACTACAATGGGCAGGGGGCTTTTTGTTCTTCCAGGAGCTGCTGTAGCTCAGGGATATGCACTGACATATTGTTTTGGCATTCCCCTATTAGTTGGCTAGAGGATAATTTATTAGTTTATGGTGTTTTATGCACTCCAAAGTCAGATTGAATAAAATAATCATACAGTCAACTTCAAATATTTGAGGTGAATTGGGTTGTAAAAAGGTGCCTTAGTTAAAACAATGAAGAGTCTAATACATTTATTATGGCATAGCTTTTTTATTGTAAAATAAAATATGCCATATATTATTCTTTAAATAACACAATTTTTCTTGCAACTGACTAATACTGCTTCTGGAAAGTCTTAGACAAAACAATGAAAAGAAACACTAGAAGAATTTGATGTTCTGTTTTTGCGGGGGGGGGGGATGTTATTTTCTATATGATTTTCAGGTTCTAAAAATATTAGTACTTTCACTCCAAACTGTCCATTTTAAATTCAACATAGCTGAAACATCTGAAATGGAAATCACCAAGTAGATGAGGCAAAGTAGCCCTCTTGAATAGAAAAGCTACTGTAAACACAGTTTCTCTGATTCCTGGGATATTAGTTAGCTACCGTATCAGCCAGGAAAAAACTGGTTAAAACACAGATTACATGTACTCATGAAAAATAGCGCTGGACGTTTGCCTTAGAGATGTCTTACATCAGTCTATCCCTCAGATGCCTGCCAAACAGGAAACAGGGAAGCGGTTTAACATTGCACTGTCCCCGATCCTCCCTGCTTCATTGAAGAGCAAAATTAGCTTTTCATTCCTGCCACTTCTCCCTTCTCAATGGAAATGGGGGAGGGGGCTTACTTGCTACCTGAAATGCTTACTGCTGAAAACGTGCTAGTAAAAACAACTTGTCAGCTCTATAGAACAAAAGGAATAAATAGATTTTCTTTCAATACATGTCCTCATGTTCTAAGCAATTAAAATTCCTGTAGTCCAAAGGTGAATTGTACCTAATCATAAACTTAATTTATAATAACGTATTGAAAAAGAGTAAGAATTTACTCATATCAATTTGGGTAATTAAGGCACTTGTGTAAATAAGCTAGAAAAAAAAATAGCAAAAAGAAAATTTAGTCCTTGGATTATTTGTCTTGCATCTTGTATGTCCTCCAACCCGACATAACTACATTTTATGTATGCATTTCACATTATCATTTGTACTTCTACTGATAAAGAAGAACTTATGAGATTAATGTCAACTATAGCCTCCAACAAAGAAGTGATTTAATATGAACAGTGAAAATTGGGCTTGTGTAATTATGACGTTGTTTGTACTGATTTATTTTTCAAGGCCCATGATCCTGAACCTATTTATTCCATAAGGACTTCAACTACTCCACAGTAAATTGCTTGTCAGTTAAGGGCAATATTTTGTTCTATTTTTACTCTCAGTCTCTGTCGGTATTTTATTCTCAGAGTCTCTGTCAGTATCTTTAGCAGTAGTGATTGAATCTCACTGATACTACTTGAATCAAGTGTCTATTTATTGTTGCATATGGGCATAAATCTATGGGATAGCTGTTTTTAAGCTATGCACAAGCTATTATAAGATGGCTTTTTCTGAATTCCACACCGAATGGACATTTTGACCAGAGAAAGTTAAATGAAAGCATTATAATCCTGCAGTTTCAACAGTAAACCTATTTTATTTACATTAAAGTTAGGTTCACAGCCCTTCTGTAACATAAAAGGAGACAAGACTGTGTATTTCACTGCTTGAGAAAAGCTAACTTGGTTCAAGATCAGTCTGAACTAAATTTGATAATATGAAGCACTCAGGATATAAGGCAGTCTATAAGAGTTGAACACAGATAGATGTGAAACCCCAGAGTGTCAAGCTCCCCAAGCACTTCATTTGTAGAAGCAGCAATCAGAAAGTTTAAATCTGTCATTAAATAAAAGTGAAGCTGCAGTTCTCCTAAATACCTTTCCTAGAGACTAAGCCTTACTGAGGTATTGTCAAGTAAACATGCTTAAAATGCCCTGCAAAGAAATTAACATAACAAAAAAGCTAAGGTTATTAGCTTTATCTGTTCATTCTTTATAATTCAGCTGTACTGAATTATAATACCCTTCAATCAAAAACAAACAGTCCACTTACATACATACATACATACACACCTTTATTTGGTTTTAGCTATGGATTTTGAGATTCATAGGATTCATGTTATGTTTGCTTTTCAGCAGCCTGTTTTGTTTCACCTAAAATAGAAAGCAATGATGTATAGACAAAGAGCATGGAGTTTATTTGAGAGTTATGCAAACTGCCTGCAGTGGGTATATCAAATTAAAGACAAAAGGAAACTAACTGCCATCAGGGTTCTGTAACAGAATCTGCTAGAAGAATGGAAGTTTGTTTTTTAAATGATAATTAGTTTCATGCTTTAAATTAATCCTCTGAAATTTTTTTAAAAAGACTGTTTTAGTGTGAAAGTGATATCTCCTCTAAAGCAGCAGATACAAAAGTTACATCAGCTGATCACAGATTGATCAAAGAATTTTAAAAAGTAAGAAATAGAAGAGGTGCCTTTAAGTTATCCATTATTAACTAACATCTGGACAGAAGAATGAATAGGTAAAAAGATCATACAGGACTTCCTCATTATGCTGATATATATTTAAATTACACTCATCATGTTTATATTACATTAATGTAATACCTAATTATATCTATATCTAGCTAGCTAGCTAAACAGCAGATGTAAATTTATGCAAGCCATTTTTATAGTGATGTATTTTTGGCATGCATCTAGAAGAAGTCTACTTATGGAGACCTTACTAGTGGACCACTTACTGATGGACAGTCTATAAGCAAATCATTAAGAAGGGATTAAATAACTACCTAGCTAGGAAAGTTAGATTTAAATGCACATGAATTAACATGAAGGTTAGAGCTATATTGTTTCATACAAGACATGGCTTAGAGAAATAATTAATAGCTACAACACACATCTTGAAAGGAAACAATAACTATGTTCAGAAGGCCATGCATACTAAGAAGCATTTCAGTAGAAACTTCTAAATATAGAGGTATCACACAGCACAATGTCTACAGAAGTGTGACATACTCTGCTTTTAAGATTCTTGGGTCTATTCAATAAGCATTAGTGGGAGTTATTTGCCTGTATTTTCTTCGGGAAAAAACCCTCCAAAAACAAAATAAAAATATTTTTCAAATAGACAAAATAGTATTTTGGAAAATAAAATATTTTATTGGGTACCTGACGAATAACATTTTGCATGATCAAGGGCCACCGCTGCAGGGCATTTAGCTATATATGATCTTGTCTAAGATTGTATAGAACTGTTGGCTGAAATGTTAGGTTCATCTGGAATTACTTTAAGACATCAGTTCCTCAATATGAAATTTCTGGGAAAATAATTCACAAAACAAACTGTACCAATTTATGTCACTGATGTAAATAGCATCATTCCCAGTAAAATCTTAATTTAACAGAGAATCCTTGATTATTGGGAGTGAAGTTGTTTGTTGTATCCAAGATCTGGTAAAATGAGATCCACTTACTTTATAAGTCCCTAAGCACATCAGAACGATTGTTTTGTAAAAAAAATTAACACTGTTTTAGCTATTCAAAAATGTGTATGTTGTCTTTCAAAACACAAGCTTTCATAACATAACTTACAATCATTACTTCAAGCTTTAAGTTATTTTTTCAAAATTCTCCTTATACCAGTAACAGGCATATTATCTGCAGTTAAGTCATGATTTCACTGCCAGTGAAAAATGAAATGTGGAAAAAGGCTCAAAATGCATCTTTTTCATACCTCCATTTGTTTTAATTTTTCAACGTTCTTGATACATTTTTACTCTCAAAAATATTTTTGACTATAACTATTTAATAAAAGAAAACATTTATCTATATTAGTTAAGCAAAATTAGCCTAAGCCTTATTCTGAATTTTCTCTCATTTTTTTTTTCTCTACAGCAGCAACTCTGTGAGGTAGGTTCAGCTTAGAGTGCCCTGCCAACTATTAGGAATTTTATCCACTGCATTCATATAAGAAATTAATCTGGCCAGAATTGGAATCCACCAATCGTTCATTGATGGATTGATTGATTGTGTGCCATCAAGTTGGTGTCAACTCTTAGTGACCACATGGATAGATTTTCTACATGACGATCTGGGACTAACCTTATCTTTCAGGTCTTCTAACAATGCACCCAATGCCATTGTAACTGAGACCATCCATCTTGCTGCTTGTCATCTCTTTCCTTCCACCTTTCCCAGTATTAGAGCCTTTTCCAGATAGCTAGGTTTTCACATAATGTGTCCAAAGTATGATAATTTGACCGTCGAGGTCATTTGTGCCTCGAGTTAGAACTCTGGGTTGATTTGTTCAATTTGTTTGTTTTCTTGGTTGTCCCTGGTATTCTCAGGATTCTTCTCTAACACCTAATTTCAAAAGTGTCAATATTCTTTCTTATCCTGCTTCTTCAAAGTCCAACTTTTACTTCCCTAGAGGGTCACAGGGAATACCATTGCCTGCACTATTCTAATCTTTGTAGGTACAGAGACATCATGGTACCTGAATATCCTTCCAACCACCAATCTATTCCTATGTAAACAGTTCATAGAATATAATTTTTATTTATTTATTTATTATTAAATTTATACACTGCCCATCTCCACCAGAGGGTGACTGGGGAGTCAGTCCTTAATAATAGTCCCTAAGACTTTGATTAATTCAATTTTTAATTACAAACTCCGTAACAGCTGCAAACTCATACTTCTATGTTACAAAGAAAAAGTGCATCCATATCAAATGACTACAAAAATATTTGAAAAATGATGATACTAAAATTGAGCTGAAATGACGGCTAGTTTGTAAAGTAGCAATCCACCATTTACAATTTCCTAAAATTTCTTCCCATATTTCTGACTTAATGTAGACCTTTTTCCTTATTGGGACTTCATATAAAATCTTATTTTAGAGATAATTTAAAATCTACTACACCTAACCATTCAGAAGAGAGATCCACAATTACTGACAGCCCCCAAGGAATGCATTTGGCTTTTAAGTACTGTAGTGAGGACCATGTTCCAAAAAGTAAGAAGGTCCAGGAAAAAAAGTAAATTTGATTTGATTTGAATCAAACAAAATCAAATTGTTAAACTAAACTTGTTCTTGAGGCACACTCCTTTATAAATATTTCAAGGGAGAAATGGTCTGTGAGATAAGAATTTCTGACTTTTAAACAGTCTGCAGATTTCTGAGAAACAGGCCTATAGGAATCATTATGTGGAAGACAATCTTTTCATTACATAGAATAGTTGAGGAATCTCACAATAAAATAGATGAATTTCATTCAATAGATAATTGTCTAACAGAAACATATTGCAACATGTAGCTGATACTGGCTGATCTCAAAAAATGCTCAGCAAGGCTGGACCTGATAGTCCTGGATGGGAAAGCATCAGAAAAATCCAGAGCTATAAACAAGAATGGGGAATTTTTTAAAAAAATCCCACAAAGACAATGGCAAGCAACTGCCCTATTGTTCCAAGAAAACAACATGGATGTTGTTCAACATAATCACAACTTAAAAGGTATTTTAATTTGTTTAATTTTAATTTGTTAAAAGCTCTTCTTGTTCTAAGATTTATGTGGCTAGATGGAGGGCCACACATTTCTAGCATTAAGGAGCAGCATCCACTGAAAGAGTCAGCAGAATGCTCTATGTGCCTATCCACACACCATACCACTTGCAGGAGTACCAGCGAAGTAAACGGCATGCACAGAAGCACGCAGACAGGTGGGGAAAGCCTTTGAAGCAGCTCGGCTCACCCTTCCAGTACATTCAGCTGCTTTCACATTTCAAAGAAGGTATTTGGCTCATCCAATGCACTTTGTAAAGGAGTGTTTTTTACAATAATTTATATAACACCAATAAGACCATTAGTCACTGTATAAATTGATTAAACATTGAAAAAGGAGGAAGAATTTTTATTTTAAACTGTTTCAGAAGTGAAGGAACAAAAAAAAAAAAAAATACCTGGTAAAAGTTTGGCCAAAAGGTGCTGACTGCCAATTCCACTCTATTCCAAATACCAATAGGAGCTTCAGAGATATTCCAAACTGGACTTCCAAGCTCACCATTATTGACTTTCACATAAACATTCAGAATTCCAGGACTGGAACCACTCTTGCTGGAAACATAAAAATTGAAATCGATGCAATGTGTGTCATTTTCTTTAAGGTGTGGTAGCAAAAGATGGGCTTTTTGGCCAATTCTTTCAGTAGTGTTCACCAACATGAAAGATCCTGCAGAAAATAAATAAAAGAAAATCAGTAAATGGTTATAGTTTCAGATCTCTTCCCATCTATCCCCATCTTCTTTTCTTCTTTTCACGCTATGCAGTTTCTGTTGTCCTATAGAAATGCGTAAAATGTTTTGAGCTTGAAACTTTTTAAGGATAGAGCTCGTCCACAATGATCAGAACAACCCATTTCAAACTTGAAACAATTGTTTTGGATTCAAAATATTAAAAATGTTTTGTGCTTTCCTACTATCATACAATTATGATATATTACAATTACACATTGTAAGTTGGTATTATATTATATTGTATAATAATTATAAAACAGTCTCAGAATAAGGTTTACTTTGGACTAGGTGAGAAACAAGCAGAGACATTAGCTTTATTAACCCACCAAACTGGAAGTAAGTTTCTTCCTAGTTTTGTGATTCCATTCACACCCAGGAATATTAAATATTTGCCCTGACTCCCTGCATCTGTTCATTACAAGGAATAAAACCACAGTTTTCTAAAAAAAAAAAAAAAAAAAAAAAAAAAAAAAAAAAAAAAAAAAAAAAAAAAAAAAAAAAAAAAAAAAAAAAAAAAAAAAAAAAAAAAAAAAAAAAAAAAAAAAAAAAAAAAAAAAAAAAAAAAAAAAAAAAAAAAAAAAAAAAAAAAAAAAGTTGTAGAATCCCTAATGAAACAACACTTATTCACTCTTGTTATCACTGTGTGGATCAATATAATCCATATGTGTACTCAGTGTCTTATACAGGTAGTCCTCAGTTAACAACAGTAATTGGACCAGGAACTCTGTCGCCAAGCAACACAGTCGTAAAGTGTGACAATCACATGACCGTGCTGACTTACATGGCAGTTCTGGCAGTTCAAGTTGCAGTTGTTAAGTAAATCCCATGCAGTTGTTAAGCACAATGTCACATGATCACCATTTGCAACCTCCTGCCAGCTTGCCTATTGACTATGCTTGTCGGAATCTGGCAGTGAAGGTCGCAAATAGCAATCACATGACCACGGGATGCCACGACCGTCATAATTGCGAGCCAGCTGCAAAGCACCTGAATTGCAATCACATGACCGTGGGGACACTGCCATGGCTGCAACTTTGAGGACCGTCCATAAGTCTTCTTGTTCAGCCCCACTGTAACTTTGAATGGTCGCTGAAAGAATGGTCATTAACAGAGGACTATCTGTACTGTATGCATAGTATATTTTTCAGGTAGTTTACATAAATAAATGAAGGATATTGTATCAAAATCAAATGTCTGGGTAAGCCACATATATGCTCAATGACATGTTTTATATATAACATAAATTTTATATAGGATACATAGGATTTTTTGTTCAGCTGTTTCTTATTACTATCAGAATGTGGATAGGTACAGAATTACTCTTCCATATTAAAATAATATAAATATTAATTTAGGGATATAGAAAAATTACTAAGGAAATCAATATCTAAAAGCGCAGGAATATAAAGACTGCAATATCTTATGCACATTTATTTTGAACTATTGATGATGGACTCAGTCCTACGCAGATTTGACTGAAAAATGAACAAAATGAATATACCTAGTAACACAATGTTTCTGTTGCTATGAACTAGGAGCAAGGAACATGGGATAATAATTGGACCTACTGAGAATTGGACTCAATCTGTGAAGAAGGGATCAGTGTGAGGGCAAAAAGATCAAAGCCAAATTTAAATTTATGAAAGCGTTTGATGGACAAATCCCCTCCAAGTCCTGCTGTGCTGCCTCATCATGGTGTGTGTGTGGGGGGTGTTCCTGGGATGGATGAGCAAAAAATGTTGGGAGTGCATGCCAAGAGTATATTCCCAGCAGGCTTACCCAAGGTGTGAAGATCATCCCAACTGCCCAGATAAAGCAAGCAGGCACCTATATTGGGCAACAGCGATATAGGAAGATGTTGAAGGCAGATGATCACTTTAGGGACAATGGCAAAGGCATCAATTCACACTGCATAGGAGAAGGCAATGATAAACTACTCCAGTATTTTTACCAAGAAAACCACATGGATAGAAAATGTAAAATGACTGATGTTGTAGCGAAGGAGAATGGGCCCATTAGCTCAGATGGCACTCAACATGTTACTGAGGAAGAGTAAAGGATCTTTTGGAATACTAACAGTGTTTATGACGTGGCTAGATTAAAGCCTTTGGGACATCCAGTTGCTGATGCTGCCATACAGGAAAAGAAAATCAAAAGGTGTAAAGACAGAATTACAGTAGGAACATGGAACGTAAGAAGCATGAACAGAGGAAAGCTCAACACAGTAGAACTTGAAATGAAACAACTACAAATTGACATCTTAGGCATCAGTGAATTAAGAATGACTGGGATGGGTCCCTTTCAGTCAGAAGATCACACCATGTATTACTCAGGACATGAAAAACAATGAAGATACGATGTTGCTTTTATAATTAGAAAGGGCATAGCAAGAACAGTAGTTGGCTACAATGCAATCAGTGACGGAATCACATCAATTAGGGTTAGGGTTAGGGTTAGACGACCCTTTAATATGATGATAATTCAAGTTTATGCTCCAACCACCAATGCAGAAGAGGAGGTTGATGACTTCTATGTTAAATTTGAAATTGAAAGAACATGCAAGATGTGCTGCTTGTGACTGGAGACATGAATGCCAAAGTTGGAAACATGAAAGAGGAAAATGTAGTTGGACTGTATGGCTTAGGAAACCGAAATGAAGCAAGAGACCAGCGTATCAATTTCTGCCACTCCAATTGATTTCTTAATAGCTAACACTGTCTTCAAACAAGCCTCTATACATGGACATCACCAGATGGAGTATATAGAAATCAAATTGCCTATATTATTGCTAAAAGGAAATGAAGGAGCTCAATTATAGAATCAAAGACATGGCCAGGTGCTGACTGTGGAACAGATCACGAACTTCTCATGTGCAAGCTCCAAGTTAAGCTAAAGAAGAAAAAGAAAGCCAATCTATTTCCATGATATGATCTTGAACATACACCCACCATTTTCAAGGAGAACATCAGGAATCACTTTGAAGTCCTGAACTTCATTGACAGAGAACCAGAGGAATTATGGAATGAACTTAAATGAACGTAAATACGTTGTTAAGAATTAATGTGAAAAGAGACTGCCAAAACTGAAGACAGAGAAGAAAGCATACTGGATGTCAGAACAAATCATGGAAATTGCCAAGGGAAGAGAAGCCAAAGCCAAGAAAGGCAAAAATCTCAGAAAGAAACTTAAAAAAGAGTTTCAGAGAGCTGTTAGAAGAGACAAAAGCAGTATTACAACAACATCTTTAAAGACATTGAAGATGGAAACAGACATGGAAAAACAAGGGAAGTCTTTAAAAAGATCTATGAACTCAGAAGGAGGTTCCAATCTCGAATTGGTATACTAAAGGATGCCAATGGACAGAAAGTAACTGATTCAAAGGAGATCAAAGCAAGATGGAAGGAGTATTCTATACAATAGAGATGTCAATATCCAAGATATCTTAGAAGATATTCCTTACTTACAAGAAACTCTAGTACTAGAAGATGTAGATAGATCAGCATTCTGGTCATTACCAAGTTGGAAGGCTATAAGAACTGATGAAATAGCCACTGAAATATGGCAAACAACAGAAGAAGAATCAGTCAAGTTTCTAACCAAGTTATGGCAGCAAATCTGGAGAAAACACAGTGGCTAACCAATTGGAAGAGGTCAACCTACATTCCAATATCAAATACAGGAGACTTAACAGAGTGTGTAAACTATCATACAATATCTTTAATTTCACATGCTAGCAAAATAATGCTTAGGATCATCCAACACAAATTAGAGCCCTACATGGAAAAAGAGATGCCAGATGTTCAAGCTGGGTTTAGAAAAGGCCAAGGAACATTAGACATGAGACATTACTGCTGATGCATGTTGGTTAATTGAGAAACCCAAAGAATACCAAAAAGAAGTCAGTATGTGCTTGATTGATTATACAAAAGCCTTTGATTGTGTTGATCACATCAAGCTGAGGAAAGTGCTCAGAAATGGGAATCCCAGAACATCTCATTGTCCTCATGAGAAACTTATATACAGGTCAGGAAGCCACAGTACAGACAAAACATGGCGAAACAGACTGACTCCACGTTGGCAAATGAGTGTGACATGGCTGCATACTCTCCCCTTATTTATTCAACCTATATGCTGAATGTACATTAAGAGAAACTGGATTGGAAAAAGATCAATGTGGTTTTAAATTGGAGGAAGAAACATCAGTAACCTGTGCTATACTGATGACACTACCCTGATAATAGAAAATGCAAAGGATCTGCAAGCCCTAGTATTAAAAGTCAAAAAGCTGTCGGGCTTAGCCCAAGGAAATCCAGGAGACCATACAGAAATTATCCAGCAAGGTTTATTAGCTACAACCCATTTACAGGAATCTTCCCAGACTGGAGTCCAGTTCCCAGGCTCGGCCAGTTCATACCAATGGTATTTCTCAGGGAGGTGCCAATCTCCTCTGCTTATCTCTTCTTTGCTCCTCTGGAGATGAGAGCACATTCTTTACTCCCCTCCCACCATTCCAGTCCATCACAAAAGCACAGTGAAAAAATGGGACTAAAATTAAACAGAAAGAAAACCAAGCTAAGGACAATAGGTACAACAACCAGACTTAGAATTGACAATGAAGCTATTGAAGTGGTGGATAGCTTCTGCCTTTTAGGATCAACCAGGAACAATAAAGGAACAAGCAGTCAAGAAATACACCACAGACATGCACTTGGTAGAGCAACTATGAAGGCCTTGGAAAAGATATTCAAATGCAGTGATGCATCTATACCTACAAAGATCAAAATCATGCAAGTGACAGTAGTCCCTGTGACACTCTATGGAAGCAAAAGTTGGACTTTAAAGAAGCAGGATAGGAACAATATTGACACTTTTGAACTTTGTGGATGGATAAGACTCCTGAGAATACCATGGGCAGCCAAGAAAACAAACTGATGGA